TGGCATGTAGATGTGTACTGCAGCTTTGAAATGGGAGCCATTTTGGGGCAGGGAAGCAAGAGACTAGGAAATGTTGTCTGTGGGGGGTAGGTTGGTAGGGAGTACAGCGTGGGGTGGCTTTGGAAGTAGGAGGAGAAGAGAAGACATGGTGAGAGCTGAGAGGAGTCAGAGGCAACTGAGGGTGACCTGGCTGGGGCACAGTGGGGCATTCCCACCTCTCGGGTATCTCTGTCTGTGGCCCTGGTTTTGTAGTAGGACGCTCTTCTCCTTTGCACTTGATGCACCATATTTGCTGTTGGAAAAACTGTAACCAAGGTGTTGCAACCAAATTTGGATAAAACCTTTTACTCTGAATTTCTATGGTCTACCTTAAGTATTTTCTTTGATCTAATGTTTTCATCTATTTTTGCATACTGACAGAAGGTGACTGTTTTCATTACTGCCAGTGGTTGTGAATGTAAAGTCAGTTCAAACTGTGCTTTGAAGGTGAAAAGCTCTGTATGAATATATACTGTTTTGAAGTGGAGTGATGAGAGATCAAGAGCCACCTACATAAATGGGCCTCTCTGGCAGATCAGGCTTTTATGGTGATACAATGGCTCCATCATGAGATTTTTTCCAGCTGTTACTGGAGGGTTTCATCTGTCCAAAATTCAGGAAGGATTTTAAGATTTGTTTTAATTTTAAATTGGAGTTCTGGTTGAGCTGTCTTGTTGAATTTGTTGATAGACAAAGCTGATGTTTTGATTGATTATGCCCCTTTTTTTCCAGACGTGCTCGCTCCTCAGTATCCTTGGCAGTCAAGTGATATGTCAATGAACATGCTACCTCCTAATCATAGTAATGACTTCATGTTGGAGCCTCCAGGACACAATAAAGAGAATGAAGATGATGTAGAAGTTATGTCAACAGACTCCTCAAGCAGCAGTAGTGACTCAGACTAGGTGCAGGAGGAACAGTATCCCTAGTAGACCTTTCCTGTGGTGAAGGTAGGTTGGATGCTGTTTGTCACAAACTGCAATACCCTTTTGTTAGGCTGGCGGCCCTGTGTAGGGAGAAGATAACAGCTGGCTCAGAAATAGGGTGGCATTTAAAAAAGTGGACTTCAGAATTTTTTTTTTTCCCATTAGATGTTCAAGTAAAATGACTGGGAGCTTTCTGCTGGAGGAGAGATGTCAAATTTCCAGTGATGATGTAAATGTGTGAATGTGTATGTTTGCAAGAGATGCATGTGTATATATATATATTTACTATACATTAGATGACAAAAGTTCCTGGGAAAAAAGGTGTAAGGGGAATCCCCTTGTATGTTTGTTAGTAACTTTACTCTTTTGATGATAGCCTTTTCTATGGCACAGAAATAAGACATGAAATTTGTAATTTTAATATCTTTGTTACTGCCTAAATCCACATTCTTGATCATCTTGTGTGCGCCAAGAATAAAAATATGGCAATAAGGTGTAAAAAAAAAGTTTGTAATTATTGTAATATATAATGAATGATTTGTCATAAATAAACCCAGCTTTGATGTAACTTTATGTTTCATTTTGCAACCTTAAATTGTAGATGAGTTATTCTGTAACTTCAATACTCAGCACACTTTATCCCAGTATGTGGTTGAATTCTGATTGATTTTCAGAAGTTTTCCCCGTTGCAGAATGCCAAGTCAGTATTAGAAGCAGCTGAGGAGTCAGGAACTGAAAGTCTGTCCTTTTCAGCTGAGCTTTATCAGATGCACACTGATTAACTGGGCAGACACTGAGGCAGTGATGTGGAGTGCCCATTTACAAGGCTTCACCAATACTTGGGTTAAGCATCCTGGGACCCTGGAGATGACATGCTTTGGGGCACACTGCAGGTTCAGCTCCTTTCAGTTCAAAGTGCTCACAGACTTTTCTATTCTTGCCACCTATAATTTTTTTCTGTTCTTTGAGCCTGCTAATTTGCTTACTTCAGCAGTTGCATTTCCTGCCTCAGCTATAATGTTCTTTCATCTTCCCAAAGGCACTTCCTTTCCTTGTTATGTTTTGCTTAAGGAGTCATTTTATGACAGCTACTCTTCTCTTTAGTTTTCTGATTTGATCAGAGGGTTACTTATGTGAACTGTTGCTCGTGGCAATTTCAGGTTTCTGCCCTGCAACAAGGTGTCCTGAAACACAGATCATAATTCTCTCCACTCCTCTGTTTTGTAGATTCCTCGCAGGAAGTATCTGATAAATCAGGTCCTTCCTCATTTGCTCAGACAATCTTTCAAATACTACTGTCAGTAACACTGCCACATATTACCAACATATGTACAAGTCGCACAAGGATGTAGAAAGGAGAAGGACACATAATACAGGGCAGTGGTTTATGTTTTAAAAGAGAAATGGGGAATTTGGCTTTGTCTCGGCTGTTCCTTTTGGAAGTATTTTCAGAGTTATTAAAACGTTACCTCTATTTTGCAGTCTAAATTTATTCATATACATATATATTTTAACCTTTATTCAGTATCAGCTTTTCCTCTTTGGTGTTTACTCCTAATGTCTTTATAGAGAACTCTTATTTCCTCTTTTAATTAATGCTAATCCCAATACACCTGGCCTCTCTCAATCATCCTAGTTAACCTTGCCTATGCCTGTTCTAGTTCACATTGTTTTTTCTTAAATGTGTGATCGGAATCATCCACAATACTGCAAAATGCAGTTTCTTAATGCTTTGTACCACAGGATTAGTATTTTCTTCCCTAAATCACCCTCCCTTAACACATTTTATGACACGGTCACAGCTCACTAGTCTCTTTTGTCTGCTCATTTATAAGGACATTCTTTTCTTGGAATGAAATACAAATAGAGATAATTAATAGTCATGGAAAGTGTAATGTACAGTCTACCCAAAAGTCTTACATGGGTATATCATGTGATTCACTAACTGAAATATTGTGGAGGTGGGTGATTGTTTCCAGACATAAACAAGAGTGAACAGAAGCAATGACCGCTTCTTTTTCTGGGTTGTTGGGTAGTCTTTCAAAGGATTAAATGGGACCAATGTGTTACACCTAAGAAACCAGTAAGACGACAGCTCTGTGCATTGTTCACTTAGCATAAAATCAGACTCTGAGTATAAGATGCGTCCTAACCTTTTTTCTTTTTTTTTTTTTTTTTTTCCACATCGGTCCTCCAAACTATATACTGTTCAGGAGTATTTTTCTCAATGCTGGATAACTATAATGCCATTTGAGGTGAATTTTGTCTATTACAAGCAATTTAGAAAACCACGAGGTTTTAACTGTGTGTTTTGTTATTCAGTGGCTTAGAAGCGTACATAATAGATTTTTCTTTTTAGCAACAGTACCAAAAATCAAAGTAAACATAATGTTTAGTTGAAAGGATGGAGTCTTAGCAGCTAAAAACTACTGAGAATCAAACTTTCGGGGGGGAAATATAAATGCATGATACATACACAACAAGTTATTTAAGTTAGGGATTGCAGACAGCTGATCGCAGTAATGCACTGCAGTCATTTCATCAGTCCACTTAGAAAGGATACAGAAACCCTGACATACAGAGGTACTGTTTGCGTCCTCATTTCAGTAACTACTTGTATATTTACAACAGATAGACTGAATGTAAGCATTAATGGTAACAAAATATTTATTGCATGACAAACCATTTTACAGAAACCTCAGTTTTCCCATCAGGAGCTAGATGCCTTCTAAAATTTAAAATTCCACTAACTCATTTTAGTAATTTTTCTTTTTTCATTATTCTGTGGGACAGATGGGCAGGACATCTGTCAACTCTTCCTACAGCCTCTTTGTTGACAGCTGAATGGAATAATTTTCAGTGTACATGAAGTTGCTTTCAGGAAGAAAATCTCCACTTTTGAACAGGGAAAAAAAAAAGCTTTCTACAAAGATACAGCAGTAAAGGAATTTTCAGTGATATTTCTCATTTCAAAACTGCTTTATAACATTATCTTCTTTCTTCACTTCAGAGAAAGAATATCTGTCCTAAGGGAAGTTGTGCTTAGTTCATGCTTCAAATTCTAAGCAGGAGGCTTGCGATTGTCAGTAGCTTCCTTATAATACCTCATATCACTCAGTCCGCTTCTCAGCAAAAAGAGCCATCTCCATTTAAGAAAATGTATACGCAAAGTAAGGAAGAGCTTTAAACCCTTCAAGCACATTCTTTTTAAGAACTGACAAGTCAATTCATAATTTCAGACAATTTTAATCTTTCAATATTGTGCTTATGTTTTATTAAAAAGAAATTAAAGGTTTATCTCAGAACATCTTGGACAATGGGTATATCTAAAGGGAACAGACAAAAACTGTGTTCTAAAAGAACCCTGAAGAGAAAAAAAAAAAAAAGAGCAAAGCAGTGATTTTTTTTTTTAAACGTCATATCCTACAATTAATTGCTGATGTCCTAATGACTACAGCTGGAAAAGAATCAAATTTGGTTACAGATTCTAGAGAAATGAAAAATATAAACTCATTGGTTTTGTATTTATCTTTGTGTACCGTGATTCATTTACTACTAATTCAATCATTTAGTCATATCAAACAAAATTAACCATTTGTCAAATCCCAAAAGCCATTATCTGTGCTGTTTCATACTGACAACCCTCTTTAGCCAAAAAGTGACTGTGTGCTGTAGAGTTACACCTAGATATGAGATGAGTTTGTACAATGTTATTTGTGTCAGCCTAGTAGAACATGGTAGGCACCTCTCCATTAAACTATTAAGAGTTTAGTAACATGATTGGGAATTAAGATCAGCTGCAGAGATCTGAAACGCTTCTGCAGATAAATTCTGAGGTAAGTGAGGCTGCAAACAGAATGCCATAATGAAACGGGGTGGCAAGAAGGGTCAGGGAATTTTCATTCCCTGCAACAAGGCACCGCAAGCTTTTTCATGTCTGTAATACCTTGATTTTCAAGTATGTGCTACGATCTGCAGGAGAACAAGGTGTCATCTGTAAAATGGGACTTTTGTTCATGACAGTATCTTAACTGAAGCTATGAGACAAGGCTAAATTTAAAAATTGGTCCAAGATTTATAATTACAGGAAAGCAGCATGACACACAAAGTAGTTTTCCACAGAAAGCAGGACAGTGGTTTGAACAAATCAGTTTCTCTGGGGCCTGATGCTGCAACCGTTTCCAAGTGAGTGAGCTTCTCTGACTAGTTCTGACTTCCAAAGGGCTATTCATCTATATGACGATTAACCAGGTAAAACAGTCTTGAGTTTTCTATAAAAGGTTACATTAACTGTTAATCACTAGAGCTACAAGTAGCTCTGGAACAAGAAAACTGTCATGTGAAATAAGGTAAAGAAACATCTGGCATCTTTCTGGCTTTGGGAAGGGTAGTATTTTCACATGGGCAGAGCGAGCATGATATATCCTTTCCTCTTTTACTCCCCCCAAAAAGCAGGTCGGTGCTTTAGTTTGTTACATCATGTACGGTCAGTTTTTACGCTAGTTGGTGACTTCCCGTGTACCCCTTTAGATGATCGAGCTCTTCTGTGAAGGGATTGTAACCTTGCTCTCTCAAACAGCGTAAGGCCCAGAACAGTTGATCTGCTGGAGGAAATTCATCCCATTTAACCCATTCCCAACCTGCAGGAGAAAAAAAATAAAAAAAACCCAAGAAAAAGCCAGAGTATAAATTGAATCGCGTCACAATTCTGCCTCTGCCAGGCTGGGTGGCTTGTGCAGAAACTACCAACGCAAACGCAAGTTCTCCGTTGCATACACGGTTATTTTAAATTTATTATTTTCCTCACGTTAAGCCTTGACCCTGCCGGAGAGGAGAGTTTCCTCAGACTTAGAGAAGAAACGTACTCGTAGCCGCTCCCTGGCCTCACGACGTCAGAAGCGTGTGGCCATATGGGGAAATATAAAATAAAAACGGGCTCCAAAGCTTATTTTCGGGTAGGACCGAGCGAAGAGAGAAACCGCCGCCGCCCCATCTCGGCGCTGAGGCACCTGAGGCGAGGCGCGGCCCCGCCCCCTCCCGCGCGCCCGGCCCCGCCCCTCCCGCCTCACCCTCGTTCTTCTCGGGCTCGCGGTTGCGCGGCTCCGCCCCCGGCTCCGCCTCGCCCTTCATCAGGACGGTGACGTAGTGGTAGCGGGCGGCGGCGCAGACCGAGTTGACGGTGGAGGCGAAGCGGACGTGACGCAGCCGCAGCGCCGCCTCCTCCAGCGTTTCCCGCGCGGCGCACTCCGCCAGGCTCTCCCTGCGGGCGGGAAGGCAATGGCCGCCTCAGGGGAGGGCGGCCGCCTCTCCCCGGTTAGCGGGGGAATGTGTGTCTGTGGGGGGGGTCTGGGGGCTCCTACCCGAACTCCAGGTGGCCTCCGGGGAGCTGGTAGGTGCCGGCCCCCAGCGGGCCTTTCCTCTTGCCCAGGAGGACGCAGTTGGGGTGCGTGGGGCTGGTGACGACCACCCCCACACCGATCCCGGGCCGCGGGGGCTGCGGCCTCTCCGCCATGGCAGCCGTGGGCCCGCGGGATCCCCTCAGGGCAGGGAGGGCGGGGGCGGCTCCTCCTCCCGGTTTTAGGGAGGCGGTTCGGGGCGAGGCCTGGGGCTGGCTGGGGCGGGCGGTGAGAGGGACCATGGCTTTCCGTTTTGGAATGGAGTGCGTTTGGGGGTTTTTTTTCCTTTTTTTTTTTTGAGGGGGTGATACCGAAAAGCCGGTCGAAGAAACTCCCTAAGACTCGTTTTGGAGTTTTAGAAAGCAGGCATTCTTTATTGCAGCGCTGGATGCACGGGGGATAGTTCCACCAGCACTAACAGCTTATTTAGAATAACGAATTGCATATGAATCAGATTAGTATACACGTACATCAAAATGATTGTAACTGATTATCTTAGTACTGCCTACACCCGATCACGCGCAATGAAGGATCCATTTGAGGCGAAGGGCTGCTTTTGCGACCACCGACCCGTTTGAAGTTCTTGCTGGCTGTCCTTGAAGTCTTGATTCTTGTCCTTTGCTCTTGAAGCTTAACGCAGCTTCAATCAC